AGATGGAGAAAAAGCTGAGCACTTTTCACAATTTTTCAAGTCCGTCTTTACTAGTGAAAGTCCATTTACTCCTGCCGACTACGACTTCGATGAGGGTCCAAAAATTGAGTCTGTATCTTTTGATGAAGCGACTGTACGCAAAGAGCTAATGACGCTAAATGAGTCGAAATCACCAGGTCCAGACGACATACCGCCTAAGTTACTGAAGGAGCTCGCTGCCGAACTAGCCAAACCATTTTCCATGCTTTTCCAAGCCTCGTTCGAAGCCGGCTGCTTGCCCGCCGACTGGAAATCTGCGCGGATCACACCACTGCATAAAGGAGGCAGCAAGGCCTCTGCAAACAATTACAGGCCAATCAGCCTCACCTCCATCTGCTGCAAACTCATGGAGAAAATAATCAAGCGAGAGCTGATGCGCTTCCTAGAGCAGCATAATTTATTATCTGATGCGCAGCATGGGTTTCGTAGTGGCAGGTCTTGCGTGACTAACTTGCTCTACTGTTTGGAACGTTGGACTCGGTCAGTTGATGAAGGCAATGCGCTGCATGTAGTCTATATCGACTTTAAAAAGGCATTTGATAGTGTCCCACATCAGCGACTCGTGCACAAACTGAGCCGAACAGGAGTTAGGGGTAACCTCTTAAAATGAATTCAAAGCTTCCTATTAGACCGTTGTCAAACTGTCCATGTCGGTGGCCAGAAGTCGACGGAGGTTGCCGTTGAAAGCGGTGTTCCCCAAGGCTCAGTTCTTGGTCCTACTTTGTTCATCATTTACGCCAACGATTGCGTGAGTGAACTGGATTGTGGTGTCGCCATGTTTGCGGATGACATTAGGCTCTGGAGCGTCATTCGAACTGCAGATGACGAAGAGCATATGCAGGCGAACCTAAACCAACTCGAACAGTGGTCAAAGGCCTGGCTTCTGCCGTTCAACGAGAAAAAGTGCAATATTCTACGAGTCGGCAGAGCTCGCTCTCCGAACCATATGGCCTACTGCCTAAATGGTATACCACTGCAAGAAGTGGACTCGCAGAAGGACCTGGGAGTATAGATTACGACCTCGCTCAAACCCTCGCTGCACTGCACGAAGATAGCCAAGTCTGCAATGCCAGTCCTCTACCTTGTCAAGCGGGTTTCCTCTGCCTTTGATGAAGACTACTTCGCTAAAGTCTTTCGAACTTTTGTGCGTCCGCAACTAGAATTTGCTATCCAAGCTTGGAGACCCTGGACCGCGAAGGACCTCAGCATCCTTGAAAGGGTTCAAAGGCGTGCAAAGAAACTTGTGGCAGGACAGGGTTCACTACCAAATGCAACTCGGTTAGCTAACCTTGATCTCTTTCCCTTGAGTTACAGGCAGTTACGGGGTGACCTGATAAAAGCTTTCCGTATCATACGCGGTCAGGACTGCAGCCTCGTACCGGAGGACTTCTTCGAGGTAGCAACCACCACAAATCTACGAGGCCATCCATTTAAACTACGCGTGACAGGGGCCAGACTGGACACACGAAAGTTCTTCTTCTCCAACAGAGTGATAGAAGCTTGGAATGCCCTGCCTCCATTATTATAATACTACTTGCTATATGACAGTAACATTTTGAATTGAATTTATTATTGTACCAACCCATCGCCTACGCTCACTGACATGCACCTATGCAAATTTTGTCCCCTGATACATTATTTATTTCGCTGCACTCGAAATGACCGCTCTACAACTGCTCGTACCACTAACATTCGAGACAGTTTGTTTGTCTGTACAGACCTGACGCTTTTCCGATTATTTGTTCCTTTATGATACCTTTTCGAGTTTTTGAGATTTTGCATTTGCTTGTAAACAGATAGGGAGTTCAAAGGTGCAGAACCACATTTCCCTCAAAAAATTGAACTGAACTGAACTACCCATTCTCAGACATGCTCAGAATATACGTGTCAATATAGACAAGGAATTATCTATAAAATTGGAAAAACTTCGAGTACCAAGCTCCGACAACTCTTCAGGCGTCCTTGTCCACATCCTTTCATCTGAAACCCTTACAGACACACAACTCGCAATCCTGGAACGTGAAGCCACTTTTAACAACCAGAGAGTTTATTGTTGTATTCGAGTCTGTTTTTCAATTAACAAAGGCGTCAGAGGAGACGAAAGTTTTAATCCGTCACCGAACCTCCTCGTTGCTAATGCGACACAGGAGGTGCGAAACTCTTGGCAATATGGATCAGCGAGCACTGAAAAGCCTAAAAGCAAACAAGGACATAATTATTCTGCCAGCTGACAAAGGACGTTCGACAGTTGTGCTGGACAAATCGGATTACCAGAACAGGGTAGAGGACTTACTGGAAGACCAGCATTCACACAAACAATGCCGTGCCATTGAAATGAATAATCTAATCACTCGGATAAACAAAAGCCTAAGAAATCTCAGGGCCAAGGAGGCGATTACACCCAACGAATGGTTCTCCATGAAATCCACTGACACCGCCACGGCTCGTTTCTACGGTCTACCGAAGGTACACAAGGCAAATGTCCTACTCAGGTCAATCGTATCCCCTCTTGGCACTGCGACGTACAGTTTAACAAAATGGATGTTCGGTCGTCTTAAGTTTTTGGCCGAAGGCTCACCAACAAGAGTAGCATCTGCGCATCAAGTCCTCGAACGCATAAAACATCTGGAGTTAGAGCCAGACGAGTCCATGGTATCCTTTGATGTCGTTTCGCTCTTCACTTCCATTCCACAGCAACTAGCGATGGACGTCGTGGACCAACTACTGGCAGAGCGTTATGAGGAGAGAGACAAACCCCTGAAGTCTGAGCATCTGCTCGAGCTTCTGAGATAATGTTGCAAGACCTATTTCACCTTCGGTGGACAAATGTACGAACAAATAAAAGGCACTCCTATGGGCTCCCCTATATCAGGCATAATCGCTGGAGTAGTTCTTTGATGGGTAGAACACTTGGTGTTCACCAAGTATCAACCAAAGTTCTGGGTGATTAGGCATAGCCCATGGACGCACAAGCAACAATTAGACGTCGCATGATGCAACCTAAGGACCCATTTTCACCCGCTGAAACCTTAGCAGTCATCTACAAAATAAATTGCAGTGAGGACGCCAGCAACTATGTGGGCGAAACTGGGCGGAAATCGCAAACTCGCCTACGAGAACAGAAATCGGCCACTCGGAAGTTAGACCAAACTCTCAACTAGCAACACACGTTGGAGAAACGGGCCATACTTTTGACATCCAGCGGGCTACCATCTTAGGCCGAGGCAACACAAAAACAGAACTGCAAATTCTATGAGTGTGGTTCTCCGATGCGAATTCTATCAACAGGCTTCTGGACCTTTCTGCAGCTTACAAAGTCCTACGTCATCACAATCGTATAGCTCAGGACCAAAAAACCACACCAGACTTAAGAAGGCCGTACGGAGATCGCCCGACGCTGAGTTTACTCGGGGAGGAAGAAGAAGAACCGCGAGACCGACCGCCCGACAAACATCCATTCTGCTCCCCTCGACGGAGTGGTGACTCACAAAGCACACAGGCTAAACGCTCGCCAACCGCCACCCGAGAGGCCGAGGCAGCGATAGGAGCGAAAATTAGATCAGCATGAGGCCGGCCAACACAGCATGCCACTTTATATTAAATTTCTGATCGATTATGTGCATTTTACGATTTAAAATGAAAAGCCGACGCAGCTCTTCGAAACGTCAGCACTTAAATACACCTGTTACGGAGAGCCTATATTCATCTTCAAAAAATTAGGCTTTAATATCGACGAATTATCGCAAATGTTTTCCTGCTAGGCTTTTCAACTGACTGATTATTCTCATTCTCCTCCTCCTCCTCCTCCTCCTCCTTCTCCTCCTCCTGCTGTTTAGATTTTGCTTGACATTTTGGCAGTTTTATGAAACGAAGTGGCTGCATAGACGCGTTCGTCAGCCAATCTCCCATTTCTACGAGTCCTCAGACATAAAGGGGAGGGGGGGGGGACGGTGTGGTGGGCTGGACTTGCAGGTGGACTCCGAACTGGTGACAGGTTTACGGACCGTCAGTAGATCTCCTCAGGCCTCAGAAAGTTCACATCTTGTTCTAGGCCCCTTCAAGCACTCCTCAGACATAAAGGGCATTTTGGCAGACAGCTCTTGCCTTCGCTCAAGTTCTCCTCTGTGGCTTTAAATCCTGCTCACGTGCGTTCAGGTAAAATAATGCGATCGTTAACCAACCTACATTAAGTGGGCCAACTCATGAAATCTCCACACGAATTACGAAATGCGTTTTCGTTTCGAAAAGACTAATTAAGTAGTGCTGTAAAACCAATCATCATACAGCATTATTCTATTATAATTCATATAAGCTCGGATGAAATCTCAACAGAAATTCCAAAATCCGTTTCCGTTTCGAAAATATAAATTAAATAGGGTTGTAAATCCAATCGTCGTGCAGCATAATTATATAATAATTCAGTTACCCCAGGACGCCGGCTTTCGAAAAGACTTCTCTCCGGCTGCATCCAAAAACCAGACTCCGTAAAAAATGACTACTTATGTAGCATGCGTTTTTCAATGCTTTTCGATGCCCTTAAAGATTCAGTTATATGTCACGGAAAAAAATGCATAAAATATTCATTCTTTTGCTCATTCGGTAGAAATTACGTCTTTCAATTTTATACTAAAAGGAAGGGTTAAATTCGGTTTTATGGAACTTTTCCAATTCCTGAATAATTTTGAACCCAACCTGTCGTTTCACTTGCATTCAGGGTTCCCAAACTACAAGCCGAATAATTTCCGCGCATGAAAAACCGTACATTCCTCCACCGTATTAAGAGGAGACCATATGGGGTTCATAAAATGAAGCAGTGGATTTGAGTCGCATTTTTATTTTCACAAGCCACATTGGTAAATGCGGAGACATGACGTTTTATGAAGGGCCATTTCACGGTATTAAAAAACCTCACAATTCGAAACTTTTTAAGAACTGAATTGAACTCTTCCTTCGAGTGTAAAATTGTAGAAAACTTGATCTTCTACTGGATGAGCAAAAGAAT